CTTCCCACCATCAGTATCTTCCTTCCAGTAAACTATATGAGGAATCGAGAAAACAGGTCAATTTTATTGTCAAGGGAGACACTTTCAAGGACTATTTGTAGCTCTCGTGGTTTGATGTTACCCTCAGAATTTTAAATGGGAATGGGGGTCAAGTGGTACATCATTTCGATTGGCGTTCAATTATGATTATTTTTACTGTGACATTTGTATGTCTTGCAAGAGTTGTGGTGGAGGTTACATTGAAAAAAAGTTTGTGCAGATGGGGGCGGGCTCGCCATCACGTTTGGCGCTTGCTGTACATTTGATAAAATAATAATTTTCAATTTTAGTTCTTTCAATACATTATTAAATGTACGTGGACTGTTAACGCGTATACTTCATCATTATATTAAAGACGAGTTTGATATAAACATATGTAATTAAATAAAAGATCCAGCAATAATTTGCGATAATATTTTTTTTTCTCTCCACATATCAATAAAACAGAAAGTTAAGGTCAAGACAATAGGTGATCAGATCACCGAAGTCTGTCAAATTGCCCGACATAGCAGAGCCATAATCACATTAGGAAGCTGGCTTAAGATGAAAGCAAGGGCCATGAGTACTTATTATAGAGGGAAAGTGAGAAGTCCTGCTTCTGGTCGGTGTCACAGCATGGTTTATTGTTCTGTGTCACTATTCACTCCAATCACTGTCATTTGTCATTATCAACACAACAGAATAATAATAATTTTGTGACTTCAATGGAAGTCAAATGCTTAAATGATTGTTGGTTATATTGTTTATTGCCAAAGACTGATTTACCTTTTTGTTATTGCCACATATTATTGTTATCATTGATGAAAAAATGCTGGTAGTCCACTGAAATCTGCTGAAAATTCTGATAACCATGATTCAAGTTGAAACGGAAAACTGTCATTTAAGAACTGATCAAAAAGAAGGACTTTTGGAAGGAATTTCTGTAAAGACTGAACCTTTTGATAACTTCTTGACTAATTCAAGTAATTTTTTTTTACATATTCATCATGACTTGATTAAAGGTTTTTCTTCTTCAGGTGTTGAAGCAAATGCAAAAGATGGAGTCGAAGGAACAGTTAATGAGTATAAGGAAAATAATTATGACAGCAAAGCAGAAAATTTTTCTGAAGGCGCTGTATGTGAACAGTTAAAAAACGAAAGCATTGATATAAGTTATGAAAATATAAAATCTGAAATTAGTTCAGCGACAATAGTATGTGATGTGTGCAATAAAAGCTTTGATGTTGAGGAGGACGTCAAACACAAAATTGACTGTCGACAACATTATGAGTTAACTTCGAGTGACATGCACTGTGAAGATATGATCGACGACAATAAATATGAATCAAATAATCAGAATCAATTGTTGCTCGAAAACCATGAGGATAGGCCGTTTCAGTGCGAAATTTGCTCAAAATGTTTTATCCAGAAAAGTCATCTAAAAACGCATCAGAGAATTCATACAGGAGAAAAGTCGTTTAGTTGTAAAATCTGCTCGCTTACTTTTAAACATAAAAATGAATGTAAAATGCATGAAGAGAGTCACAGCGAAACAATATTTGTATGTAGTTTCTGTTCGAAGTTGTACAAAAGCAGTAAATCACTAAAAGTTCATATACAGAGTGAGCATAGAGAAGATAAACCCTTCAAATGTTATTTCTGCCCAAGATCTTTCAATTATAAATATCAATTCGAGTACCACATTGTGAGTCATTCACAAGAAAAATTGTTCAAATGCAAGATCTGCACTAAATCATTCGCTAGAAGTGTTCTCTTGAAATCTCACGAGAAACTTCACGAAGAGAAAAGGCAGTTTCAATGTGAAGTCTGCCCAAAGTCTTTCCGAAAAAAAATTGAATTTGACAGCCATACTCGGTCTCATACGGCAGAACGACCATTCCAGTGTGCCGATTGTTCAAAATTCTTTATATCAAAAACTACTTTGAGAAATCATGTTATTACTCATAGAAAAGAGAAGGAATTTCAGTGCACTGTATGTTTGAAATCCTTCAATTCCAAAGGACATTTAATCCAACACCAGTCAATTCATACAGGCGAGAAACCTTTTCAGTGTAAAATCTGCTTGAAATCTTTCAGGGTTATCCATAATCTCAAAGTTCATGAACAACTCCATAAAGAGGACAAGCCACACAAGTGTGACGTCTGTCTGAAAAGCTTCAAAAATCGCGACAGACTGAAAAAGCACCAGCAAGTCCATAACGAAAAGCAGTATTTCTGCAACTTCTGTACAAAATCTTTCAAAAATCCGCAAGCTTGGACGAGCCACCAGTTGATTCATGCCGAAAGAAGGCTTCATAGGTGTGAAAAATGCCATAAGTCTTTCACTACCAAAAATATCCTCAGATCACATGAGAAAATTCATAATGAAGAAAGAAGCTTCCAGTGTAAGATCTGCCCCAAGTCTTTCTACACGAATTCCAATCTGACAGCACACGCGAAGACCCACCTGGAAAAACAGTTCAAATGCTGTGTATGTTCCAAATCGTTTGCTCTGAAAAAGAGTTTGGAGAACCATCTTACAGTTTGTGAGAAAGGAGAAAAACCTTTTAAATGTCAAATCTGCCAACAGTCCTTCTTCCGGGAGAAGACACTGAAAAACCACATTAGGTTCCATACAGAAGAAAAACCATTTGAATGCAAGCTCTGCTCGAAACGTTTCATATACTTGAAATCTCTGAAGTTCCATTTAGGGGTTCACGCAGGAGAAAAGCCTCTTCAGTGCAGTGACTGCCCAAAAGGTTTCAGGTGCAATCATTCCCTGGAAAATCATGGGAGTTTCATCCACGACGGAATCCAACTGTTCCGGTGCGAAGTCTGTTGCAAATGTTTCACTTCAAGGGTCCGCTTGGAGAACCACAATAGAATTCATACTGGTGAAAGACCGTTTCGATGCAAGGTGTGCAACAAATCTTTCGCATTCAAAGGGAATTTGAGGGCTCACGAGAAGCAACATTCAGGGGAAAAATCGCACTGTTGCCAATTTTGCGGGAAATCTTTCTACACTCGAAGTGTCTTGAAACAACACATCAGGATTCATACTGGTGAGAGACCCTTCAAGTGCGAGGATTGCGAAACATCTTTCAGTCACAAATCTTCGTTGAAAATACATATGCTGACTCATACAGATGAAAAGCCTCTGCAGTGCGAAATCTGTTCGAAGAGCTTCAAGCACGGAGGGGCTTTACGAGCTCACCAAAATCTTCATACGGGAAAAAAGCTACAGTGCCCTATCTGCCAGAAGTTATACATACACAGCAGTAGTTTGGGAAAACATATGAAGACTCATATGACAGTTCAAGAGGAACTGGCAAAGTTGCCCGACAATTCTGCCGAAATTTCGGAAACTCCTTGAAAAGATTTCCATAACTTTGGTTGATTGTCTTCGTTTTCCAGATTTTTCTCAAAGGACTAATTTTCACACACAGTTTCATAACAAAGATTTAGCTAATCAGTTGCATATTGCACGAGAATAAAAATTGACTTTTTTGAATTTGAGCCAGTATTTGAAAATTTTATTTGTGATCTCATGATTTTTTTTCAATGAGCCTTTTTTCTGAGAATAGTACAGCGAACGTGTCACGAGAGACAGCACTAGTAATAGGGACCAACATATAAAACAGTGTTATTTACGTAATATTAATTTATTATTTAAAAATATAAATCTGATATAAAAAAATATTTTGTGCTAGTATAATGCCAAAAAAGCATTGCTGTTTTGCTAATTGTACGTTGAATAATCGATATCCGGAAGAAAACATATTTTTTATACCATTTATAAAACCTCATATTAATGAGGTTAGATGTAAGAAATGGATACATGCTTCGATGAGAGTGGATTTAACAGGGCAAAAAATAAATAAATATTCATATGTATGCTCTAAACATGAAATGAATAGTAAATTTTTCATAGTTAATTACAAATGATCAGAATGAGATATAACCTCAATCATTTATTAAATTATATTCATTTACTATATTTAATTTATTTCATTACCATCAATATTTGATTCATATTTCACTCTGAAATAAATCTGAAATTCATAATTATTTCAAATTTCTTTTACTACAGTTTGAATCTACCGCTACTCTTTTACTAGAGTCTGCATGCTAACCTGTCTATTAATTCACTTTTTTTTCAGTTACTTTTAAATTACGGCATGCAAGCCAACGTTTTAATGTTGCAACATTGTTATCCTTTACAGTTGCAAATTTTAGTTCTGCTCCAGGAATATCTTCTTCTGTTAAAAATATTCTTTTTCAATTGTACTTTACCATATGTTTATATGAGGATAAGGCAGTGTTTGTCCCTACCAAACTACTAGCGCTGCTAGTGAGTGTACTTCAGGAAAAAGGTTCATTGAACACACCTTCTTATTATGGAATTTTAATGAATGCATTTCATTTATATTTTTCGATTTATTCATAATGCCAATTTTTGTTTTGTAAGGGAAAATATTGAAAATTGAACAAATAAAAATGAAATTGAAAAAGACTTCAAACCAAGTTACTTCACACTAAAAATATTAATTATATCAAGCAATAAAACTTCAAATGAAATTACAGTAAAATAAAAATGAGCAAAAAAATTTTAAAAATTGAACAAATGAAAATGATTTTTTTATTTTAATTTTCAATTTTTTTTTCTTATTTTTAACTTAGTCATTTTCACGTTTTATTTAATTCATTAACGGGTAACACCAAATTAAGTAACAGATTTTCACAATAAATTATATGAATAAATACAGACATGATTACATTTAACTTACTTACTAAAAGTAAAATGACATACATAAAAAATAAATAACAGTGACAAAATAAATTCACTGATATGCGAGAATTGAAAAAAGATTAAATGAATGATGAGGATATGAAGATTCAAGAATTGAGAAAGTTAATGCTTATTTTCATTTATAATTAATATAATTGATATTTTCAGCTATTCATTTTATTTTTTTTTCATAGATTTCGAATCATATTAGACAATGGAAGTTCGAACTAATTAGATTCTTGAATTTGGCCACACTAAACGTTCACTAGAAGGGCTGTGATTTTTTGGCGAATCAGTTTATTTTTTTCTCTCAGGATCAGTAGCAAACATCTGCTTTGTTGATTATTTCCTTTGGTAGTAGGAATTGGATATTGCTTTTTAGAGTGATTACTTCATTATGAAGTCATTAATTGTCTTTACCTTTCAGAACACACATATATAAGTAAGTGCTTTATTTAACCACTTTATATACAGTTGCATATTTGTAGCAAGTCACAAAAGTTTGTTCATTCGATAAAAACATTAACTAGATATAAAACTAGCAGAATATACATATAAGAGTAAATAGTTTAGAGATAATGTCTCAGTGAGCATAAATCAAATTATTCCACCTTTTTTCACCTTTCCTTCATATTCATCTAGTGTATAAAAGGAATTTTCAATTAAAAAAAGTTTGATAATGTTTTTGAAATAGAACATGTTGGCCTTTTTTAGATCATCTGGAAGGATATTATATAAGCTAAAATGTAAAGAATTATTTACCGATTTGGTAAGTCTATATCTGGGTATTCTGAAATTGTATGCTCCTCTAGTATTATGTTGATGAATATCAGACTGTGTAACTAAGTTTGGTTGTGTAACTAAGTTTGGTAGATTCCTATGGATCTCCACAAGAGTATTTAAAATGAATAAATAAGGAAGAGTCATGATCTTCAACTTTTTGAACAGTGGTCGGGCAGTCTCTCTATACATGGCATTAGCCCAGATCCTAATAGCTTTTTTGTTGTTGAAATACACTACACGAAGCAGATGAGCTACCCCAAAGCAATATTCCATAATTAAGATGGGTTTCAAAAAGAGAGAAGTGAACGATTCTAAGAGTATTAGTGTTGGTAATAAGGCGAAGTTGTCGTAAGTTGAAAAGTGAGCTAGACAGTTTCAAGTTCAACTGCTTAATATGATTTGACCAACTGCGTCTTTCATCCAAAAATAAATCCTAGCAGTTTTACATTATTTTCCACTAGTAGAGATGTATTAGTGGTAACTATTAAGTTCTGTGAATTATCATTGTTTAGTTTCAACCTGTTTGCGGTGAACCACCTTTCGGCTTTCCCCTTGGCTTCTGCAGCTAAAGAGATCAGGGAGCTGTAATCTTTATGAGAATATTTCAGTGTTGTGTCATCAGCAAATAGAACACTTGCATATGGAGATAAGAATGGACTCAGGTCATTTATATATATGATGAACAACAGTGGGCCCAATACGGAACCCTGTGGAACACCAAATTTCACATCCCTTAAACTGGACAAACTGTTGTTATAAAATACTGCTTGAGATCGATTAGAATAGAATAGAATACGTCAATATATCCCTCAATGTTATGAAAATAGAAAAGAAACTTATTGATAGTAGACTGAAGACTTATCCACGTCAATATATCCCTCAATGTTATAAAAATAGAAAAGAAACTTATCGATAGTAGATATTTTCCAAGGCTCAGTGCCTTCAGAGACAAGTGAAGATGATTATACAAATGTAAGTATAGTGAATTAGTTTCACTAATTGTTAATTTACGTTTGAGCAGGTTCAATAAACTTGCAGATCTCGTTCCATATACATGAATATCACATTGTCTGTCAAATATATTAACGTTTTCATTAATCTTAATTAAAACTTCATAGATATATAAGGGTGGAAGTGGCATAATGCCATATAGAATAAAATAAGGACAGCAGTGCTCTTTGTAACCTTCTTTGACTATTATTCTTATAGCCTTTTTCTGGCTCCTAAAAACACTAATGGATTTACCTGAATGACCCACCAAATCAGAATACCATATGACGTAACCAAGTGAAATATTAGTAGGCTCTTTTGAGCGTCATCAAGCTGACCACATTATTGAAACGTCTCAGAACAATCAAAACAGTAGAAAATTTGCTGGTCATAGCTAGCTCAAGCTATTATCAATTACGAATCCAAAATTATACTTTTAGTTGAATGAATATTTGCATTGGAAGATACTATTTTATTTCGAGTCTTATTTTCATTCAGTCAGGTTATTAGCAGCAAACCAATTATATGCTAATGTTGCGCTATTTCGTGTCATTGGTTATAAGCTGGTCAAGTCTTTGCCAGAACATAATAAAGTCATATCATTTGCAAACAAGGTACATGTTACTGGTTTAATAAAACTACATAGATCATGAACAATAGTAGACCTGAAACGGAGCCCTGAGGAACGCCATGCTTCATTTCTTTGAGGTCTGACTTTATGTTGTGCACTTCAATATATTGGTACCTTTTTGTGAGATGAAATGGACTATGAAAAAGTCTATAGACAAGAACATTTTTTACAGTCCTAAATAACATTCACCACTGACTTTGGTGTTTCATTAAATTTCAAATGTATGTAAATCATTTCTTCCTATTCTGTACAGGGTGTAACGAAAAATGTGATATTCAGGTGAAATAAAACTTCAACTCATCTTCTACATTTTATAAATAACTTATTAGTCAAAATGTATCCGCATAAATTGAAATTAATAAAGCTTATTTTATAGGTGCACAAGCCAAAGTTTCACTATGTATAAATCCACCCCCTCTTGTAATCAGTTTATTACCCTGCCAGTGTGCAATACGATCCGAATTAGTTTTCAAATCTACTTGTAGTTTTTCCCATACTTTTTTCTTAGGGTTGAGAACTTCGTCAGGGTTTCCATTTTCGTAATTTTGTATATAAACTCGCTGTCCAGGAAATGATCCACTAGGAGGTATTAAAATTTCGACTTGTTTTGGCTCATCCACAGAGGCACAAAGCACCATCCCTTCTGACAATATCCCCCTCATTTTAGCCGGTTTCAGATTACATAAAACAACAACCAATCTGTTTTGCAGTTCTTCAATCGACGCGAAGTCAACGAGTCCACTCACGATAGTTCTAGGATTCTCTTCTCCTAAATCTATCGTTTCAACATACAGAGAATCAGCTTCGGGATGTTTAGTAACGGCAACTATTCTTCCTATGCGAATATCCAACCTGCTAGGAACCATTTCTTCTGCAGTATCTGAGGATGTAGGATTCTTTTTTTTGTTCTGAGCTGGATAGGCTGTCTGTACCAATTTTTTGAGCTCGGGCTTCTCAAATTCCTTCCTTATAGGTTCCAGTAACCTGTTTATATATGATTCGACTGCCACTTTCAGGTCTCCAGGGTGCACTTCTTCTTTTGCAAAAGACTGTTCAAGATCTTCATACCTCATAAAATGGATGTCACCGCCATATTCTGATTTTCTAGGTACGATAAATTCTTCATCGGGCTTGAATAGAGGAAACAGTACATGCTTTGCGAATGAGAGTATTCCATTATTTTCAATATTTCCTGGCTCACAAAAAGCCTTCTTCAACTTTTTTTTCACCTCTGATGGGGAATCCAACAGATCGATCTTACTGTCTTCCTCGGAAGAAGACATTTTTGATCCTGTTAATCCTGGAACCATTGGGTTCATAAGATGTGCTCGTTTTTCATATCCTAATTGTGGCAAATACTTTTCGGCAAAAGTAAAAATTTTTCTCTGATCTACTCCACCAAACTGGGCGTCAGCATTTAGATATTCTTCATCTAGTGCCTGAAGGCCAGGATATAAGAGACCACTGAGCAATGCATTATCTACTTGTTTGACAACTTCGGCGCCTGCCTTTTTAGCATCATGTTCAGTTACGATTGATGACAGTTTATAAACATCAAGAGTGTATTCTCTAGAAAGTTCATAATCTGTACCTTTCACAAACTTTAATTTATCTAAAGGAACTCCAATCGAACTGAGCATAGCTTTAATACAATGTTCATAATACTGAGCACGCAGATTGAGAAGCATCCAAGGTGCTTTCATATTATCCAAATAAGCATGTAAATCAGCGAAAAGAATAGTAACTTCAACTTCAGCTCGAAGAAAATCTGCTATCTTTGACATTGGAACAAAGTAAGCAATATGAGGTTTACCGGTTGTCGCAGTACCCCAATACAATTTCAAATCACGTTCTTTCAAAATAGTTTTTATTTTCTCCTCACCCAACACTTCCTGTAGATTTCTTGAAATTAACTCATATTTTGCTTCTGGGGAGAGTTTGTCAGTCATCTTGAAAATAATTTGATTCGTTCAGACCAAGAAATGTTTATCCTAATTCAGTTTCTTTAATCTGCAGTGCAATTGAAATATGATTCTGTTATAAATATAACCATATGCTTAGGAATGAAACAACTATGATAAAATCATTGACAATTAGGTTATGTTGTCGCTTGTCAATCGCAAAGAAGTCACAGAATAGTAAACAAAGTTACCAAAGTTTTTTATAAAGATGTGTTCCAAAACTAACTACTTCTTGACCGCTACCAACGATGTTTGTCAATGCCAAGTGGAACCTGGAAATTATACATTGTGATCAAATATTTTCTGGTTGATCAATCATATGATCAAATAAATTAATACTGGAGGATGAAGGTGAACTTCACTTGAAACGGGTTTGTTTTGTCAAAATCTCCCGACTCGAGAAATGAGATTGACCCATGAAAGTAAAAAAATGAATGGTCTCGGCAAACCAATATCTATGAAAAAGACTGTTTTGAAGTCGCTAAATTCGAAGGTATACTCATTATCTTATTTCAGTCAGATTTATGGGCCTATGGCCCCTTATCCTTTCGGCTGTTTGAGTTTCTCTTGAGTTCCTGTGGCGGGGCGGCAGGGGATTGCATGGTCCTCTGTCGGCTTCTTTTGGAAGTCGCAGCGTACTTCTTTGGTTTTGCGGCCGTTTAGGCACTATTTCTTGTTTTATATTCCGGCAAGCATGGATTGCAGTACCATAAACTTCACTAGAAGCGCCTGCAGCTGCCCTAAGGCCGCTGGGAGACCTTCGGGAGGCCTGCAGGCGTTCTCTGACGATGAGACGACCCTCGCGTACGAGACGTCGCTCCTGATTGTGTTTCTTCCGACAGGCCTTGGGTTTCCCCTCTGTCTGTTTTTGTTCGGCCTATCTGAGGCCCTTTTATTTTCAGGGCGTTCTGGGCACCCATGGAAGCTCACTGGGTGTTCTCCCTTACAGTTAAAGCATCGCAAGGGCGAGTTTTTAGGTCTTTTGCATTCCTTGGTCATGTGCCGTCCGGCACATCTAACGCAGGCTGGAACTGCTTTACAGTTGCGTTGCGTGTGACCGAACTTTTGACATCTGTAACATTGCCTTGCTCGGTTTCTCGGCTTCTGTGTTCCGGCGCTTACACGCACGTTCTGAATTTCGGTGATCTCATATATTTTGTTTTAGCTCCTTGGAACTTAAACAATCACGAACGGTATTGGTACCTTGTTAGCTTTACTCAGGCGGGCTATGGAAAGGATCTCAAATCCTTTGCTCTGGAGTTCAGTCTTGATGTCGTCACACTCTATGGATTCCGGGACCCCGCGAAAAACTACTCCGAGTGGTTTTTCGCTTTTCATTGTATATGTGTGGTAGGGTATTTTCTCTTGATCAAGGATCCGAGTAATTCTCCTATAATCATCTGTATTTTTAAGGTGGACTGTTGTGTTCACCGCCCGCAATATGGAGATGTTTTGAGCAGCAGCGATCGTCTTAAAAGCTTCCCACTTTTCTTTTGCGCGGATGGTTATGGCTTATCCGCTTTTTTGCGTGTTTCTGCCCGGTCATTTTCGAGGCGTCTGTTATTAGTTCTTCGTCGCCTACTTCCATTGAGTCAGGTGGCGGGACTTCTGTTTCCTTTATATTTGCCGACTCAGTGTTCTGAGTGGTCTTTCGAATTTGACCTTCCAGTGCCACGCCCGGCTTTTGTGATAAGGCGGGTGTAGTTTTATTTGATTTTGGCTTATTGGTCCATTTAGTCTGGGAAAAACCAGGTTTCAACTGTTTGATTTGTTGAGCCGTTTCTGGCTCTTTTTTCCTCTTTTTTGGGGCCTTTGCCGCTTGGCTTTCTTCGCCCGACATAATATCGTCGCAGTCCAGATCGCTGATGTCAGAGTCGGAGTCGATAAGCCGATAAATTAGAGGTTTTTTGTTTCTCAAATTCAAGTCCATTCTCTTTGCAAAAAATGTATATGCTTCCACTAGTTCGGTACTACTTATTTCATAGTATTCTATAATAGTTGATATTATAGCCAGACCTGCTTCTTTTGGCTTTTTACGAACTTTCATAAAATTGAAAATCGTTTCTATAACTTGTTCCATTTCGAAAGATAGATGTTACACTTCGAAATTAGCACAACGAAAATTAGAACGAAAATTAGTCACGAGTAAGCACGTAATATTCTTGGTATCATGTGAAACGTGGCTTAAAAATGATGCTACTAATTTTGTGTATGTACATTATCAGTATCATTATTTTATCCTACGAAAGTAACAATTGGCTTATAGTAGCTATAATATATGTACACACACAAAATAATCAATAAAATATTTTATTAATGAATAACCTTTCCTTACATTATCATATGAATATATATATAAACTTTAAGTATTAACCTAAGCTTTTCCCAAGTTGAACGATTTCAATATTAAATAGTTCAGCTTACAGATTAGTTTAAGTGATCACTTCTGTCGGGCGTCCCGAGACCCACACTTTTTTTATATATAGTCTATTTGACAATTTGAATGGCGACTTTTCTTGACGTAGTAGTGGTCGCTTCAACTTGTACTGATTTACTGAAATTCGCGTTTTTGGTGAAATTATACACCGTATTCTTCTATAATTTTAAAATTCACACTGTACTCATAACTTCTAGTTAAGTAATAGAAAAAGCTCATTACTCGTCAGCACCACATCGTATGAAGATCTTGATCTGCTGATGTCCTCTCTTTCATAAAACAAAATGTAGGGTGTCTCTAGAGGCTCCAATGAATTCAAGACATCGCCAGAACAGACGACTATCGTCAAACTTAAACCAGTTCGTTTCGTCTTTGACCAAGGCGTAATAATGACCAGATTCAATGCCAGAACCACAATGAACAATGACTGCATAAATGTTATAATATTGGTCAGCTAGATTGACGTGTTCATCTATTTCGAATCTTCGTAAGAGATTGGTGTTTCCGTCAGCGGATGAGTCATGTTTGAAGATCATCAGTGTTATTATTAGATTGACTGGTGCCTCAGATATACTTGTTTTCTAATAGTAGTCAGTTAGTTTGGAGCATGTTTGGCAATACAGTCGATCATCACCCGTTAAAAGTTCCATTTTCAGATGATTTAATAATAGGCTTTGCGGTTATCAGTCATATTAGGAAACGCTAGTTGAAGTTCTAGAAAATCACGTACGTTTTTGTTACTCTTGAACATTTACTACAAAGTAAACAAGTGAGGATTTTTCCAGCAAAAGATCTAAAAACACTAGACGAAATAAACTGTATGGAATCATTCAATCCAGAGCAGTCAGGAGTATTGCTTCTGAAATGTTTTTGCTCGCGAAGAGTATTCAACAAGAACCACAATAATTCGGAGCGAACCTCTTGTTTGTGTTTACGAGTATCTAGTAGACTTCAAAGACTCCAGAAAATCGGTTGATTGGAAATATGATACAACTAGAAAAACACTGTTCAATAAATATCACAGACGGACAACAATGTTAACAAGAACTGGTGAAATTTGTAAACAGTAAGGAACGATCACACATGCATTTCTCCAACAGTATTGCTACATGTGGATTTCCAACGAGTTATACCGAATCATTTCGAGAAAAATTACGAATTATGGATTGTTTGATCAGGATTTTTATTTTGGCGATAATCTCTACCTCAGTGTTGATGGATATTGTAGACTTATCACGGATTCGATATAACAACACCTAGTTCGATAGCATGACTTTGGAATGTTTGTAATATGAATAACTGGGTCCATTTTAGATCTAAGAATCATTTCCAAATGTGAACATCGGTGTGCGCTTAGTGCTTCTATCACAATCAACTTCGACACTTCGGTTAACTTGTCGAGGATTTTTTATCTATATGATCAGGCACCTGAAGTTTGCTGTCAATTAATACTCTTACATTTTTATCGACTGACTTCATTCATAACAATGTCATTCATTGGTTTGGTAATTGTTCTGCTTGGTTTGCTTTTCTTGTGCTTGACTACCACATATTTAATTGTCTCTGCTCTATATTTAGTTTTTAAGTGGTTGAAGAAATGTTAATAACTCTTTCATAGGCAGTTCCAGTTGATTATGTGAGTAACATCGGACTGTTTACTTTGATCAGAAATAATTTATAGTTGATTGATGGTGACATTTCATAGGATCACATAAATTGATTGATAATTCATTGACCATACATTACGGAAAATAGCAGTCCTAGTTTGAATGCTTGAGGAGCATCCTGTTAACTTGCATGGATTTACTCTGCACGTTATTTGGTATTATTTTCTGGTTTATCTAACGAAATTTTGAGCAACTCCTTGGACAAGCCAGTTCTGTTCAGAGCACAAAGGAAAAATGCTTTCCATTATGATTTTTGCTAGAAATATTTCAGGCATCAACACACTTGGAAAATCCATGAAGAAGTTATAAAAGAAGAACATTAGTACGCAAATTCTGAACAAAGTCGTATAAAGTGAAAGCAGTTTTTTCTCAAACAATATGAGAAATCTAAATATAGCGAGTACAAACCATTTAATAACATTAGATTACATCCATAAACACTCCTGGCTCCCCTAAAAAATGTTTCTTTTTCATCATTATCATACATTGAATCTGCGGTAACTGTTTACAAATCGTGATAATACATTGTCATTAAATGATTGTGTTTGAAAACATGTTCGTACAGAAAACTGAAAACAACATTGTGCAGAAGTTTCGTACGTGGAAGAGCATCGTTAGTTATGTGTTAATCCTGAACGAATAATTCTTTTGACGATAATAATAATTGACATTTTGGATATTGGTGTCCGAGTTCTGACATTGACGTTATTTGACGTTTTAGTTCTGTGCTGTGGTGTTTTTGATTTGAAGTGAGGTTATGTAACCTTCAAATAAATCAAAACATTAAAGGCTTCAAATGATTTCAATAACCCGGAACCTCTGTAATGTGTGTAAAGAGTCTTCGAAAAGGTTCATCGCTACTTCCCCAAGCCTGCACGCCTTTTGGGATAGGGATGAAAAGTCAGGTTACAGAGACAACAGGAAATACCCACCTTTCAAGGAGAGAATGAGAGATGGACTGAAAATACTGAAAAGCGAAATTGCCCTCTGGAAAGAAGAGATGAAAGAAAGATTCGAATTTGACCCCATTTTAATTTTCAGAGCGGGAGAAGTGGACGTTGTTTGGCGGTTTGGGAACGAAGAATCTCTAGAGAAATGGATTAATACAGACGATAGAGATAACAATGAAGGGTACAGCAAGAGTTCTTTCACGCTAACTAAAGAGGGAAAAGCCTTATTTTCCGGAGTTACTGATATGAGAGTTCCGAAAGATGGAAAAGCCAAACGAGCAGGTTACTGCAATATAAAGACCATTCGAGCTAAGGTAATCATATAGTTGGTGTTTGTTTATATTGGAGACAAAGTGAAGGTAACTAGGTTCATGTTCCAAACCAAAGTGGTGTTTCACAACAGCTGTCCTGTTAGAAAGAAAGGAGCATACAAAAACTTAAAAAATAAATTAATGTAGTTTCCTATCAGAGTCAGTTTATTTCCTTGTGAAAGAAGGTACTATCTATCTACCCTTTCTCTAATTGCAGAGATCCTTCCAAAGGGACTCTTACCTCAATTGGACCAGTTACAATATGTTAGTGATGCGAATCAGAGGGGACGGTAGGACTTATCTGTTGAATTTACACACGAAAGGTTATCACGACCTTGCTTGGAACGATATGTACCATTTCCCACTGTTTACAAGAGGCGGGCCTTATTGGCAACTTGTGAGGGTAAGTGGAAACCTACAATCATCTCCTTAGTGATTTTGTTAATATATGTCGGGAAGGAATAGATCGTACCTCACTTGACAAAAAAGAGAGGTATTTAGTGTCTTATGGTTGCTTATCTTACTCTATTATCTTGCTTATCAAAATTCTAAAAATTTCATTCGTAGTTTATGAATTTGACCAAACAGTTTAGCTGAATCAGATTCATTCTCATATATTTTAACAGAAATGTCATCAACTCTCAAAGTTGTTTAATTTTTCAGACTCTTGAAGGACAATTCAATTTATATAAGCTCTTTTATCTCATGAAGTTGATAGTAAGTTTAGCTTTAGTTTTTTGCTACTGACAAAGTCTATATTTACTCAAAGAAAGTGAAAAGAAGACTTCAGGAGACCCTAATACGTTCTTTCAATTACACAAATCTCTAGAAATGTGTTTTTCTGTTAACCTGCTCCCCTCCCTACGAACGACAACCCACAAGAGTCTTGTGCGAGCCCAAGATTAACGGTCACTCACTTTTAAACGTGCGATCCCTAGTACAAAAACAAATAATTGACTTCTTTTCATTTTTTTGAGAATCACTGTTGAATTCATTTTTAGATTCCGTTTTCAAAGTTTTTTTATGCTGCGAAGGGCCGAATTCAGGACAGGCAAGAATCGATCCCCTTGGACCGAATCGCAAGCTTCGGAATCACTGCTGCAGAACGGTACGGAGGAGAGTTTTCCCTTGAAATAGACTACATCGGCGTAGAATTCGACCCTAATCACACTGAGGAGTTTGCTTATGAAATGTACAAAACTGACAAATATATCGTGAGGTGCTAACAGCTCCATAGAGCTGTTGATTCATTTATTTGTAAATAAACTAGTTCAAATTGAAAAAGTTTCATTATACATTATCATTTTGTTAAAATTCTCCTCTTCCAAGACAGAATCCAGGTCCATTGGGCGGCTGTGCTTCGATTCCTCTCCGGTTCATTCTGCAAGCGTGCTCCTCCAATCTCAATGTCGCTTCGTCCATGGTGGTAATGTTTTCGTTGGACCAGAGCTTCTCTGCTGTTGCTGATGCCCTGGGCCACACTCTGGAGATGACGTTGTGTTCATTCACTGCCTTGAAAAGAAAATGATTCATGAAATAGATTCAGTTTAACGGAGATGGCCTTCAAGCTGAGCTAACTAATAGTAGTTTTTTTTTTCCTTTTGCTTAGATAAATTCCCGCGAGAAAAATGTTACATAGTGGAACTGCGAATAGTCGCAAAGCGTCCTAAGTGGTTATGGGAGTTAGTAACATTGCCAGAACATCAGGATAATAACCAATTCAATGGGCTTATTTCATGATTTTTGGTTTACAGTTCATTTGATAGTAATATCAAATTGAAAAATAGTGTACTTTATTTCAGCTCTCTAAATAGCGTTGTTTTCCCATAAGTAATTATTACAAACCGGACCGTGACGTCATGGGCCTAGTCCCGCTACTTGTTCGATTGACCAATAGGAACAATACGAAGAACATTGCCAAATTGTAAAATTCATGGAGCGTATAAACAGTTTCTGATTCATTCGTGATTCAAAGTAAAATCACACTCACTTCCGACAACTAAATCTAAGAAGAAAGTGTAAGAAATGCATTGGAAGGGAGAATTAATTAAACATGGGATCCAAATAACACAAAACGCAATAAAAACGTTATTTTTGAAATATCTCCGGCAGCAGACATTTTCATGTTGATATCACAGAAATTTTAATAATGGAAGTGTATATGAACTCGTTAACGTTTAAATTCATTAATTCAATGGGCTTGTTTCATGATTTTTGGTTTACAGTTCATTTGATAGTAGTATTAAATTGAAAAATAGTGTACTTTATTTCAGCTCTCTAAATAGCGTTGTTTTCCCCATAAGTAATTATTACAAATCGGACCGTGACGTCATGGGCCTAGTCCCGCTTCTTGTTCGATTAACCAATAGGAACAATACAAAGAACATTGCCAAATTGTAAAATTCATGGAGCGTATAAACAGTTTCTGATTCATTCGTGATTCAAAGTAAAATTACACTCACTTCCGACAACTAAATCTAAGAAGAAAGTGTAAGAAATGCATTCGAAGGGAGAATTAATTAAACATGGAATCCAAATAACACAAAACGCAATAAAAACGTTATTTTTGAAATATCTCCGGCAGCAGACATTTTCATGTTGATATCACAGACATTTTAATGATGGAAGTGTATATGAACTCGTTAACGTTTAAATTCATCAAAAAATCTCCATATGAAATAGAATGTACTCGAAAACCATGGTTCTAAATAGAATTTAACGAGCTATATTTTTAAATAGTTCTCGAAGGCTCATGAACCCTAATAAAATAAATAAATTATGCATTCATGCCACCCACCAAAAATAAGAAATTCAACGTTATATATTAGCCATATTAACCCAGTCAGCATCTCCCATTGAATGTATGAGACAATGTACTCTTTCTAATGTTTCATAACTTCGTACATTTTTTTAAAGTAATTGTCACTTGGCAATACCGCTGTAAACACGATCAATTTTATTGGTCAACAGACACGCGGTCAATTTAAACTCTTGCTTCTCAAATTTTTTTTCTGCAAATATAAAGAGGTATCTTAATGTAGCCTGTCATGAAGTCTCAAACAAAGTACAAATGAAGAATGTAAGATCTGTAAAGGTCTAGTATTGTAATTAAATGAGGTCTGATAAGAATGAATCTTCAAATTTCGCGGAGGTGCTTTGATTAGCGATTTTTTATACGGGTACACTCATTCACAGTTTCAGCTCTGTTTAGTACGTTTGTTGGTGAGATGCCTAAAAAGGACTGTTAAAAATTAAGGCGAATGTTCAAATTTCGCGGCCACTACATTCGATTAGCACTTTTTTTTTATTATGTTGGTAGCGTATGTCAGCGAAGTTCGTTACAAAATTGCTGAATTTTGACCAAAATAACTGGGAAATATCCAAGCATCGCTCAGGATATTTCGAATGACGTCAACAGCGATTCAGATTTGCTTAAGAGGGTCATAACTGGTGATGAATCATGGGTTTATGGGTATGACATCGAAACCCAAGTCCAATCGCCCCAAAGGACGAGCCCAGGAGAGCCAAGTTCGATTAAATGTTTTCTTCGATAACCGTGGCGTAGTGCATCAGGAGTTTTTGCAACATGCTGGTCGTATGGTCAATAAGAAGTATTATCTTGAAGTTATGTATCGCTTGCGAGAAGCAATACGATGAAAACGTCTGGTATTGTGGGAAAAGAAGCATGGCTTTTGCACCACGTTAAATCGCCTGCTCACTCGTCATTGCTTGTTTATAATTTTTTGGCCAAAAACAACACCGTCATCATGCCTCGGTCACCGTATTCACTAGGTTTGCTCCTCTGCGACTTATTCCTGCTCCAAGATTGAAGATACCTATGAAAGAATGGCATTTTATGACTATTGACGAGATAAAAACAGAATCGCTGAAAGAGTTCAAGGGCCAAAAAACGGGATATTGAAAAAAATACTGGCATAAGTGTATTATATCCTAGACGAACTAATACTATCGATTTGGGAGACCAGATAGATGTATGTTGATTTCTCAAAGGCTTTTGATAGAATAGATTGTGAAATATTGTTGAAAAAGCTGAGCCTAGATGCCTCTGTCTTCCAGAGGCATCTGGGATGTCTGGTTTCATAGTGTAGAAAAATGTTTTGTATCGTCCTGTAAATGGGCAGCTGTTCGACTAAAAAGCTACTATTATTATCAATTTCAATTTTTTTCGCAGAAGAGTAGGTTTGTCGAACTCATTACCCGAAGCGCCGCCACTTTCAGGAGGGCTCGCCAGAAGGACCACTCCTCACACCGTGAGGTTAGTGATCAATGGATCCGAGAATTATGTGCCCCAAGCAGGTATAATGAGCCAAAAACGACATGTTTCTGCATTTTTCCGGCCAAGATTTCTGTCTTCGTAAGGTAGGCTGACATGATCTTGATACTCAAGAACAGAGATGGCATCATTTCACCAAGGACTTCAATATTCAAAACAGAGTGGGCTGGATAGAGTTTGCGGATTTCGAAGAGAACATCTCGGTACCGGGAGCTGAAAACTCTACGGCCAATGAATTGGTTAAGGCTTTCGCGGTCGAGATTTTCATAGTTACGATCTTCATTCGGGTTTGGAAGCCGTCGTGGTTTGGAACTGTATCTTAACGTTTCGCCAGCACGAGTGGCTGGCTTCTTCAGAGGTTTATTCATCTTGATGGTTCTTGATGGATACAGTTCCAAATCACGACGGCCTCTACGACCAATATCGCCTTGCTCTGTTGTTCGAAAATAATAACGTTGGGATTATTAGCTTGCATGAACATGAGAGTTAGGAATGCATAGTTCCAATAAATTTAACAATTCTCATTTTCCACAACATATTTCCTCCGGAGTGTAGGGCAACACAGTTGTTCCGTAGGTGGTATTAAAGCGCTCTTAGGGCCACGCTATGTCGATAGATATAGACTGAGATCGCCTATACTGACAGCAAGTGCATTAGGGTCTCAGGCGTCTCGCGGAAGGGGCAGCATCATGTGTCAGGAACTTCTATACCCATCACGTGGCTGCGACAGACTGAGGTGTTATAGACACCATCCTGGCAGGCCGTGATGAAACCCTCAGTTTCCGAATTCAGCCCACTCGACCTGAGGAAAGCGATGGTCACGTGCTTTGATGAGCCGAAGTCTTCAATGTTAAAGAAAACCCCATGTGATCCTTCTGCTGAACGGGTTCTAACTTGATGACCGAGTTGTGATCACCTAGATAAGTGTCGAAAACCAAATCAAGTTCATCAGCCGCTCTGGTATCTGCCCTAGAAAGAAAAGCTTCAATTATGTTCTCTTATGGTCGCGAATCATACAGAGAAGAGGATCCAAACTCCTCATGACTTTACAGGCTCCATTCACTACTATTCTTTCATGTAGATACGGCCTTCTTGTTGTCAAGGGAAGTACAATTATGGAACGGACGATTTGGGATAAAAACTCCTTTCGGGTCTCTACTTCGAGTTGATATAGCTCCTCCCTAGACCACTTCTCCACTCCAAACGAGTGGAGTGGTAAGCATATTCATAGCAGCAACTTTGTTCTTCCCCAACAGTTCCGATGACCAGATCTGTCGGAGTTTGTGCTGATGCCGCGAAGAAAATTCTTCACTGATGTTACATTTCGTGAATGGTGTTGTTCCACCGAGGTGAGTATACGTTTCTTCATCATTATTATGGTGCAGGATGCTTCCATCTATGAGTTGCACATCCTCTCCATGAAGTTTGAGATTCTCTATATGAAACAAATGTGTGAACTTATGACTCCGGTTTCCGGGGGTGCCACAGTTATACCCTCGAGTATTTTTAAGTGCAACGGATAATGGCAATAGTCTGATGCAGAAAAGAAGGGGACTGAGGAAATCGCCCTGAAACACACCCATTCTGAAATTGACCCTCTCTGTTTGGACTCTAGCCTGATCAAATGTTATGGTGAAGTGAGTACGCCAGAGTGGCGTCAGTTCTTCAAGGCATCAAATGGCTTGCGATGAATTAAATGCTTTGCGATCCAGGCTATAGAGAGGTTACGCTGCCGAAATCTTCGAACTGTCCTAAAGCTGGAGTATCTAAGTGGCTGCGGGTGTTCATAAATGTCCTTCCAGAAGGATTCCACCTGATCAGCGGTTGGCGGATTGTCTACAACAAAGGAATAAGCGAGAAGATTTCTCATGGAACTTGAGGTTTTCCCCAATGCTTCTCACTCGTATCACTAGTAACTTTTTAGCGGTCAATGGTATTCGTACTCTCATCAAGGCAGTGCTGCTTGGTGTTCTGCAGCATCCACATCGGATACGAGACGCATGTTATTGTTATTATTATTATTTCGTGTTATATAAAGAGATTTGCCAATAAGTGATGAAACCACAAACTGTAAAAAGGTAATCCCTTCTTTTTTTAATATTTGCATTCGACACATATGGCTTGGTAAAGTAAAATTTTTATTTTATAAAAGGAAGCGTTCAATATCAGTAGATAATAAGAACAACAACTGACTAGCCTGATATAATAAATTCGTCAAAAAGTGATTTATTTAGGGATGTTGCTAAGCGCATCAACATAGTCTGAATACGGAAAATGTCGAGAAACTGTAGAAAATTGCTTTGAAAATAAATTATCAGCTTTAAAAAAAGGGTATATTCTTTGGTTTGACCTACCTCTGCCCACATACAAGCTTCTCCACCTAGAAGAAGTTTTCTCTGAGTCCCGTTTCTTGCAAAATTGTTCGGTTCGCAGGAGTAGTATTTTTGCCAATCGCCACCCATGTCTAGATCATCGAGGTACCAACAAGCAGACAGAAGGGCTGGTTTTCCTGAAGAAATTACCTGTAAAGCTATAAGTTATTTCAACACTGAAGTGAAGTCAAATGTCAGATAAATTTGGACCAGAGAGAATTTTGGTAAAAAAATGTTTTCGAACTCAATTATGAAGGTTGTAAGTAATAGAGAGGGGAATATTAGAATCCAGCCATTAACAACAAATTTCGCTGTTGATCTTATCATTGTGTGCAGCATGAAACGAAAAAGATTGAACTGAATTTTGTGTGTCTGAATCAATTTGTGGTGCCTGATTTTCCTAATTTTTCCGGTTAGGAATAAATTTCTACAATAAATTCGCTGAGGATATGTGTCCAAGCCATAATCAGATCAAGCTACGACATGCTAGGCCCGCTTTCCTAATCTCATTCACAGAACACAGACATTTTAATTTCTGTAGTCTCATTTCAGTTGTCAATCTTAAAAGTATAGGTCTCGTGCCAGATAGAATTTCGCGACCTACGGCACTCTTGAGTCGGTGAGCGCACAATAAATGACACTGCTAGATAATGTTTTCCAAAATGTCAATTTATGAATTCGTGAATAAATATTCATTCGACTGTGTCGTGGTGTATACTGATCGATAAAGAAATTTGTACTCAAAACAACGATGCTGTCATGCAATCGAAATTCATTGTATTGTGGTATGATATCATCACAGTCATTATTGACCAGTATGAGGTGTTTAGAAGAAACAAAATATCCAAAAATAATTTTTGTGAGATTGTTGATTGATTTGTCAGATAAGTATTAAAATAGACAGCTGTCAAAACTTCGCATAAACACTTCTGTTGAAAGAGTCAGTAGTAGTTATTGGCTAACTACAATTGGTGAACCCGAAAAAGAAGAATAACATTGTCTACAAAAATATGGTTGAAATTTTAACAACTCAACAAAGATCAAGTTACAAAAATCCTACGTCAGTTCTAAATTAGGTTTCAAATGATGGAAATTGACATAAAAACTAGTCCCCATGATATTTTGATATACATTATATTTATAAAATTATTACAATGTGTTGAAACAACGATAAAAATAAAATTGATACAACAATAAAAATTAATTGGCGCTCCAGGGCGACTTCATTGATTCCAGTGGCGCATTTGCTTTTTCAGCTGCAGGAAAACCCGGAAAAACCTGCAGCACCACATCATCTGAAGATCTTGATCTATTATATATATGAAATGAATATGTCAATTTTTTTCAATGCGCCATTTGAATATTTTTTGTCTTAGTTTGATGAAAATTGGCATAAGCTCAAAATTGCATAAGGAATAACTTTTTCAGATGACTTTTTCGGAATTCTGTGGAAAAATGACATTTTTGAGTGTTTGTCGAAAATAATGTCAATTTTGACAGGTACTGCTTAATTGCTACTGTTACTGTTACTTTTGGTCAAATACAAATCACAAAACAAGACGCAAAATCTCTTATTGTGCCGATTTTAATGGTGGCAATGTATCTGTTGATCATAATTAGCTCTATCAATGTACTTAAGTCAACTTACCTCTGACACAGTCGAAGAATTCAACCATACGTGCACAATCGTATCTGATGGTAATTTGACTCCGTTGGAGAAAACTTCCTCCCACACTACGGATTTCGATCCAAGTTTCTCCACCATGTTGATAACCTTCTGGACGTAATAGCTCTCCAAAGAAAAGTAATCGGAAATGTTGTTTTTTGTCATGAACTTTGTTATATTCGAGTTGCTTTTCCTTTAAGAAAAGTAGTATAAATATTAGTCCAACAACCGAATGACCAACCATTGACTTTCTGGGGAATTTCCACCTTCCACAATAAAAAATGCAATGGAGGACTATTCGCAGATGTTGAAAGGGAAAACTAGTTCGTCCTAATTGATAATTTCACAGAAAGCTAATAATAGATCTTTTAACTTTCCGAAAAAAATGATAAAATCAAAATTAGTCGTTAGTTCATGAGCAAACGATTTCGAAGAAAATTTGAAGTTTCAAAAATGACTGTCACTACCATTGGAACTCACCCCTCTTTCAAACCACGTTCCAACATATATGTGATTTTTGTTAAACATAAAAAATGCATGAATGAATACATGACATAACTATCCGATTAGTACTACCTAATCAAATATCTCTTTACCGAAATTCAAAATATAAAATTTTTGTTTCGTAATATGAAATGCTTCGTGATTTCGGAACCAACCATCAAATCGACCTCAAAAACAAGTTGGCAACGTCGCTCGCCCAGTCAGAATAACAAGAATACAAGAAGAAGAAGAAAATTAAGTTAAACAATATGAATAAGTTTTACAATGTTGTCAAGTTCTTATCCAATATTGGTGACGTCACGTCCATCGTTTATACTCCATTTTGGAAAGACTACTGACAAAGAAATTGTAAAAAATATAAAACGAGATATATGTAATTTTCAGTATTACGGTTATCCTAATAGTGTAACTTAACATTTCAGAGGTCATAATCTGCCTCTAACTTCAGAACGGAAATAATCAACTATAACATGAAGTTTCCTTTCTTTGGTACATCAACCGGTGACTTGACTTTTGAAACATTCAATGTATTACAAGGTATTCTAGGTTTTATAAAAAGCATTGTACAATAGTTTAACGAATTATTTCGACTGAGGAAGCTACTTTGTACCGAAACACGTTAATAATGTGGAGATTGTTTCATTATTATGGATAGTGATAAATCGACAACTTCCACAACTGAATATTACTGGAGTTTTTTCTCAACACCAAACCGTTATTTTAACACTTCGACACGTGTTTCGATTACCAAGTGGTCATCTTCAACAAGAAGATTAGTTTGATAATATTGTTGAAGATGATTGAGGTGTCTTCCTTAATATTCTAATTTTCGTCTAATAGAAGTGATGCAGAGAATACCGAACTAGACTGTAAAGGTCTGATCGTCATTTATTTTTATTCAGCAGTTACAAACGAACAAACCTCATTATATCAGTTGACCGTTGAAGATTATTTGAAATTAGATACGTACCAACATTCGAAACCCACTTCATCGCCTCCTAGATGCACATATTCTTCCGGGAAAGTTTCGTGAATTTCTTCGAATAGTCCTTCAAGGAAATCGTAGACGATTTCTTTCGAAGGATCAATTGGTCCCAATTTACCGGTGAAGTTACCTTCACAGGCTGTTAGTATTTCAGGGTGAGCCACTCCCCAAGATCTTGTATGTCCTGTCATAATAATAATAGTTGTAGTACATAGATTGTATCAGTTATTGGAGTTCCACAACCAGATACATAGTTTATAAATAAATAATTTTCAAATTAGTGAATGAATTGTTCGTCGGTGAAATGTTTTCTGTGAATTGTGTTTGGTGAACAATGCTCAAAATGTCATTTGGATTGTGAATATCATATTCAAGACATTTACGAGCTTAGCCAAATACGCCAAACACTCACCTGGAGTATCAAATTCTGGCATTACTCTGATTCCTCTCAACCTCGCGTACTGTATTATTTGCTGAACTTCATCTACGGAGTATATTTGCTTGCGATAATACGCTCCTTTGTCACTGAAAATTTCAGAAAAACTTTACTCTGATGCAACACGCAACGAGAATGAATGAAAAGGAGAGAGATAGGTATTTTTTCTGAAATGATATTATAAAGAGAAAAATATTCAGTTCTTTGAATGATAAAATTCATATGGAAATTACAATTATGTTCAAACAATGAAAAGGCAAAAAATAAATCAAGAAAATATGTGAAAAGATTATGATGTGAAACTGGAACAAGCTATTTCATATTTGTTGGTATCTACTCGTAAAGCGTTAAAAGTTATTGCTCGAGAGCAATTGTGAATACTAATGATCGAAACATCATGATTTTTTTTTTGAATATTTGAAATTTTCCCGATTATACATTTTTAAAATTTTTTTATCGATTATCTTCATCATTTCATTTCTAGCTTATTTTATTGTTTGCCTATAATCGACATTTCAACATAGTGAAGTATATTTGCGGATTTCACATTCGATTCACGTTACCGTGATCTTAGTCATATTTCGACTTGTTGGAGGGTGTACCACAGAACATAAACCTATAGTTGTAGTTCTGTGAGGTGCAAAGAGATATTAAAGAAAAATCCACTGCGGCGGCAACTTACAGTTCCAATGTCGTTTGACGGGTTGCCTACCTTGGGTTGTACAGCGCAACTAATTACCAACTGGATTTCTGGGCGGGTTTTTATAACTTCACATAGGTTGAGTACAAACGTGAATAAAACATTTAAACTCACATTTTATTGAAGGTTTCTACCCCCTGTTTCCCTTGTAGAAGAAAAGGATGCTACATAAAAGTATGTATTTTATCGTGCATTTCATTAATAACGCACGTGTATTCTTTTATCGACCCAATCAAGGATGATCATGTATATGCAAAATATCCCTTACATTATACAAGTCGTTCAGAAGTTACGACGGTTACTGAAAGCCTTGGACTGGAACTATGTTTTACTATAAATTGCACCCGTTTGAAAGCGAGGTCGCTACAATTAAATATATAAATATAATTTCCTACCTGAGCTCCGGATATTTGACGCTGACGTACGGGAAACTTTGATCGTCCACAATGTGCCAATGGAAAACGTTGAACTTGTTGTAAGCCATCGCATCTAGAGTGATGAGGATTTTTCTCACGGGAATGAAGTGCCTGGAAGTGTCCAACAGCAAACCTCGATGGGTGAATCTGGGATAATCGACGATGGAAGTTGTGTTGATTCTGAGCTTCAATTTCAATGAGATTTGTTAATATTCTGTAGGGTGTTTCGACCGAAACTTGACGTTCTCTGAATCTCAAAAATGGACATGCAATCAAAAAATTCCAGTGCTTCTATTGTAAATGAGAAAAATTGTATTGGAATTACAAAATGAAGTTTTTTCAATATTTTCGTTGGTTTCTGGATTTTGCCGTGATCTTTTCTGGTTACAATCTCCAGGGTTGTCTTTACCCGGGGGTTAAAGGGTGCAGCTGAACCCGAGCGCCTGGAGGGCGGCGCTAAAACTAGAAATTGGGAATTTTATATAGGTACCTCTAATCTCATTCCCAGTGTTTTCAACCGTAGCAGAATTCCGTTACCGTACGGAATTTTCTACGGAATTTCTACAGAATTTTCTACAAATAATCAATATTGAAAAAAAAATATGGAAGAAGAAGAGGCAGTGGACAGCACTCTTCTTCTTCTTTTCGATTCAATGGCCTTAGCAACTAAGGCTATCCGGCCAGTTGGTAACGAACATAATTTTTTCAATATTGATTATTTGTAGAAAATTCCGCTACTTTATGTTCAAATCCGCTACGCCGCTACCGTCGAGTAATTTCCGCTACGGTAGCGGAATTCCGCTACGGTTGGCAACTCTGTCTAGTTCCTTGGACGCGTATTGCGGAATATATCATAATCCTCAAAGAATCAGCAAAACACAGCAGAGATCCACTCAAATTAGCGGGGGTTTACAGGATTCTACGTAACTGCGGTAAAGTTTATATCGGTCAGACGAAAATTAGTATTGGTACCCACTTATAGTCGAGCACAAGCGGAGTTTCCGATTGGGACAGACTGAGGAGTCTGCAGTCACTGAATATGCATTGTCCAACGGAAAAGACAAGATTCTTTTCAAAAATACCGAGAGGCTCACAACGTCCAATCATTATTCAACAAGAATGTATTAACAAGCCATAGAAATACACAAACACAGGAAAACTTCAACAGAAAGGAGGAGAGAACATATCTATCAGAAATCTGGTACAAAAGGTGCCAAAACGAAGCCATATTACCCAAATCGGACGGGAAGTACGCCCCAATCCGCCATTACAGAAAGTGCGCGAAAAATCAGCACTATAAATGACATGGCAGAAGTGAGAGCTTCAGTTTCAGTTGATACGTCAAAAAGAGTACTTCGACCACGCCACTGAAGATGACT